CTGAAGAATGTTTGAAAACTGGAGAGAGCCGATGACAAAGAAGACGATTAAAGCCTCATTCCGGGCCCGTGTGTGGCCCCCAGGTGAGGCTGCCTGTGGGCAGGAGAGCAAATCAGGGCTGCGGAAAAACAGGCCCAGGATTCTGACACGACCTTGGCGTTTGAATCAAAGATGCTCAGAGTACGTTTATCCCCAGAGGGGCCCATAAAGCAGGGAAGAAACCACCTAGACGTCAGGAAGAGAAGTTCCAAGGCTTGGAAGGGGATGCCCCAAACTCAAGACTTCCCAGCCCAAATTTGGTTCCGTGGAAAGATTAAGATTTGCACAGGGGAAGGGCTTCAATTCCAAGTGACGAATTTAACGTAGTAAAAGCTCAAGTTGGGCTTGAGTCAAGGGGGCAGGGGGCAGGAGTTCTCAAGAGCTGAGATGGTGACCAAGACCACGCAAAGCCTGCCTCTTCTTTATGTGAGTTGTGTGTGTGATGCACATAAAAAATGGGCAGGGTTTCAAATGTGCAGTCATGCCCCTTCTGTTGACTTTTTTGACACCCCCCCCCCCAACGTGGCTGCCTCCAACTTGACTCCTACTGACTTCACAGATCCACCTCCCATCTAAATACAACCAGGTCTAACCCTGCTTAAAGTCCAGCCAAGACTTCAGAACATTGTTTATGGTTATATTTTTGTTGACCTGGTCTTTACTGAGATGACTGGCATTTGGATTTTATGTCCCAGGAACCAACTTGGGTTGCCTTTGTGCACACCCTTGGTTAGCTCAAATGCAATGTACATTTTCTGTGCAAAGTGGGGGTTGAGTAAGTTCACTGCCATTACCGAAATGATAGAGAGGTTACAGAAATCATTAATTCTGTTAAAAAACATGCAAAATTCCAGATAAGCTCCACACCATCCATGTTGGTCAAATGATGGAACCTTCATTAGGGCGACCAGGTCTCTATAACATGGGACATGTGACTTCCTGCTCTCACACATCTTGCTGCATGGATGGATGTTCTGTAGAGGCTGACCTACCTTGGGGAGTACTGACAGGGGGGTGGGGGACCTGAATCAGAGACTAAAACCTCCATGAGGTTCACAGGATGGGTTTGGGTACCTTCTCTCCAACACGCAACTCTATAGACAGGGTGATCACAGGGATGGTCAAAAAAGTCAAGATGGCAGTCTTGAAGAACCACCCCTTTGTGGGGGGCAACCCAAGTAAAAATGTGCTGGGTTTCTGCTGCATGGTTGCGGCTACCATTTTGACTTTTTTGACCTTCTTTGTAGATACCTTTGATGCGGACCATCTCTATATGTTAATGCAGAGGTTCACATTTCAAAATAGTTTACTTTTCTTGGTTCTGTATAAAATAACATACAGTACAGGGAGCACATAGAAAACTGCAGATAACACAATGGAAAAAAGACTTTATCATATGAGGAATTATTTACAGGGCAAAACCTAGCTGCAATCTTTCATGCACTTGTTCTTAGAAGTTGTTTTCTTTATAAATGGAAATATGTGCCAACTTTTCATGACACTGCTGTTAAGATATGTCTGTCCACTATGATGCTCTGGCTCCAAGTCACGGGAAAAATTCACAGACCCATAAAATTTGAATGGGGCCTTCAAGTCATCCAACACCTTGCTGAATGCAAGAATTCCCAATGAAAAAGATTGAAACCCTTCCACCATTAAGTGGAAGAGGCACAGCAAGATGTTTCTTGAAGGGAAAGCCATTTTGCAGAGCTGCTGGGTTGCGTTCGATGGGCAAAATGAATCCCTTCCTTTCTGAAGTCCTTCAAACATCTGCACAACCTTGGCTGATCTCAAAAAGCTAAGCGTGGTGCACCTCAGTGGACCTGGATGAGAGGCACCAGGAAACCCAGGACTTTAAACAAGGTTGGGAAAGTTAAGATACAAAACCCAACCCCCTTCCTGGAAGAACACAGGGGCGACCAGCTCCAAGTCCCAGCAATCACACTTCCTTCTGAAACTGACTGGAAGCAGATGAGTCTAGATCAGGAGATCGTACAGATATGCAACCGGCAACTTCTTCCGCGGTTGGGTGATTTGCATTCTTAAGTTTCAAATTCCAGGACCCTGTTTTTGGAGGACATTAGCAGCTTTCTTGCAGCACAGACTGCGACCCCACATGTATCTTAGAAGGGATGCTCAAGTTAAGGCTGACGGCACGCAGGTATCGCATTTCAGAGGAATTTGTAAAGCTGATCTTAAGACTTACGGTGAACCCTTGCACACCTTGAGTGTTCCTCTTGCCTGCCTGTCCACTGTGAGCTGGAAGGAGCAAGCGTGGGCTACAGAACCCCACAGAATAATAAAACCAAGCCCAAAGGAACCACTTTCCCCAAAGGGGACACGGGACTATATTTAGCTATCCCAGTTCCTCCACCAAACCCCAGAGAACAGGAAGAGTGAGTCAAAACTGTTCAAGAGAGGTACGATTATCTGCCTGTGAACCTTGGCAGAACGGGTTTCTCTCTCAGTCCAATATTAGAACGAGCCTGGCAGTGCTTTCTCCAACTCACACATGTTATTAAAAGGCGGAAGCTTCTGCCTTTTAACAACACGGGTGAGTTGGAGAAAGCGCTTCCAGCCACTTCCCGATTTTTGGCTACCCTAGACTAACCCGGCTCTCCTCCTACAATGTCCTCACCGCCCAGAAGAATCTGCGGCTGCCAAGTAAATCCGTAATTCAAATGAAACGCCCTTCCTCAGCTTTTCATTCCTACCGGTGGAGGCCGTCAGAAATGCAAACCTGACAGCTTAATGTGGGAGCCGGAAGTGAATGAAAAGGATCGGAGAGGTTTTGGGGCGCTGGAGAAGGCGGGCACTGGTGGAGCCCAGCCACGCACAGGGCACGATGCCTTCAGATGATGGTGGTGGGGTGAAAAACAGTCTGGTTACAGTGAAACAGCCTCTCTGGGCCCCAACCCTAATTGGAGTCTGCTAATCCTGGAAGGGCAGTTGGCAAACAGGGGCGTCCATGGTGGGAAGTCAACTAAGTCAACATAGTGGCCGCAACTGTGCAACTGAAGTCCTGCTCCCTTTCTAGCTGCCTGTACGTTGTAAGGATGAGCCCAGGGTTATTTGGAGATAAACTCCCCCCAGCAATGTTGTCAGAAAAGGGACGAGAGCATTAAGAGCTATCTAGCCCACGGCCCACTGCGTCAAAGCCGTTGCTTCCATACCAAACCATGGTACTCTACGAATTCCACGTCTCCATGTGTTTTTCATCCTCCATAGGCCTGGGGGGAGGGTGACACAGCGAGAAAGGGGACTGATTTTGGTATTCTGTCTGGGGGTGGGGGTGCCAAAAAAAAAAAAAAAATCAAGATGTCTGCAAACACCACCATTGAAGCTCCGCCCTTCTTTATTTGAGGTGCGCATGCAGATGCCCCAGGCACAAGCCTTGATTGAACTCCCATGGATTTTTATTATTTTTTTCCCCAAAAGTTAACAAAAAGGGAGGAATTGACAGCCATCCACCTGTCCCCCTCCCTACCCCTCAAGCAGCTGGGAATTATTAATATTCTAACTCAGTGTTTTTCAAACTTGGCAACTTTAAGATGGGTGGACCTCAACTCCCAGAATTTCCCAAACCCCCAACCACCGCCTCGGTTCTTTTGTTATTGGGAGTCACTCCCCCACCCACTATATGAGGTTTTAAAAACCCCG